TACCGACCAACCTCATCCCGCCCCCTTGACCTGTCCGTCCTCCCTGGACTGACCTATCCCCTTCCTAACTCCCTACCTACACTCACCTTTCCTGGCTCCATCCCCGCCTCTTCGACCTGTTTGTTTCCTCTCCACCTATCCTCTCCTCTATCCCTCTTCTATCCGCCTCCCACTCTCTCCCTATTTATTTCAAAACCCCCTTCCCCTCCCCCTTTTCTGATGAAGGGTCTAGGCCCGAAACGTCAGCCTCTCTGCTCCTATGATGCTGCTTGGCCTGCTGTGTTCATCCAGCCCTGCACCTTGTTGTCTCGGATTCTCCAGCATCTGCAGTTCCTACTATCTCTGAAACTATTTTCACTGGTTGGAGATTCTAGAACCAGGGAAGTGGTCTAAAAATTAGAGCCAGACTGTTCAGAAGAGATATTAGGATGAGCTTCTACACAAGGGTGGAAAAGGTTTGGAACTCTCTTCCATAACCAGCAGTTCATGCTAGATCAGTTGTTGATTTTAAGTCTGAGATGGATAAGTTTTTGTTAAGCAAATGTACTAAAGGTACATGGGCCAAAAGTAGGTATATGGAGTTAGGCCACAGATCAGCAATGATCCGAATGGTGGAACAGGCTTGAGGGAGCTGAATGGCCTACTCCTGTTATTATTTCCTATGCACAAACCGATGGCAGAGGTTTGAAACTTAACAAGGTCCTAATAGGAATTTATGGTGCCAATTAGTCTAAAAAAGACAATGACAAATGAAAAAGAAACAGAAAGAGGCCAGAGTTTAAAATGGGTTTTTGGACTATGTTTGAGTCTAAAGGATTGTGCCTGTGAAAGCTACAGGATGGAAATTTAATTGCTGTCTGGTTGTCCTATCATTATTAATTTATTAAAAGTTCATAGAATAGAACCTCAGTTACAAGAATTAAATTAACATTCCTCAGGGCCTGTTGGTAGCTATCTGCATACATCAATGTCATCAGAAATCAAACAAGATACCATCCCATGAGCTGGTCAGATCTTGGAAACAACTTAAGAACTTAAGTGAACTGGCTAGTTGCATCTCATTTATTTATTTTTCTTTTGATTTATCATTTAACTGTGTCTGTCTGTCTTTATGTTAATGGAGGGGGGGGCGAGAAGAAAAGAACATAGAGTTTAAATCATAATTTTTTTTGTTTAAGCTATAATCAAGATGTTTGCTATTGGTTATTCACAAAGTTTGGTTAGGAACCATTGGGGTCAATTTTAAAGATCATTGAATGTTTTAATTTTACTATGTTGTGTATGCAGGGTTGGGGAAGCAGATTTGATTTAGCTGACTATCTCCATGCTATAACAAACAAAAGAACAAAGTATTAATTAAATGGAGAAAAACTGCAGAAAGCTGCAACAAAAAGGAGCTCAGGGGTACTTGTGCATGAAACACAGAAAGCTAACACACAGGTGCAGCAGGTAATCAGGAAGAATAATGGAACCTTGGCCCTTACTTCAAGGAGGTTGGAGTAAAGAGTAGCTAAGTCTTGCTGCAACTGTACAAGATCTGGTGAGCCCACATCTGGAGTACTAAGAGCAGTTTGGTCCCTCTACTTAAGGAAAGATATTATTTTGTTGCAGACATTTCAAGGAAGGTTCAATAGGGGGATCCTGGTATGGGAGAAGTGTCTTATGAGCAAAAGATGAACAGGCTGGGAGTTTATTTATTGGAATTTAGAAGGATTATTTCATTGAAACATAGGGAATTCTTAAGGGGCTTGACAGGGTAAATGCTGAGAGGATGTTTCCTCTCATGGGAGAATCTGGGACCAGAGGGCATGGTCTTAGAATAAAGCAGTGCCAATTTAACAAAGAGACGAGGAAGAATTGCTGCTGCCACACAGAGGTGTGGGGGCAGAATCCTTGTATATGTTTAAGGTCGAGGTAAATAGATTTTTGATCAGTAGGGGAATCACGAGTTATAGCAAAAAGGCAGGAAAGTGGGCTTAAGGAATGCCAAATCAGTCACGATCCTGTTGAATGGTGGAGCTGGCTGAAAGGGGTTTATGGCTTTCTCACATTCCTATTTCTGATGGTCTTATGATGTTAACAGTGGAAGAGGAGAAGAAAATAAGACTGGCAATGACGAAATATCAGAAAATGATGGAAGTTAACATAAAAGGGAACAAAAAACCTCTTGATCATGTAAATGATAAGTGGTTAGTAAGGCTGGTGTCATTACAGACGACAAAAGCACAGGGTAAATCTGGAATATTTAATGAGTAGTCTGTTTGCTTGTGAAGAGAAAGCTATCAAAGTATTGAATTATTGGTAGAAGTGGAGATTCTGGAAGTGATGGGTAGATGAAAATTGACAGGGAAGAATTACTCAACAAACTGACAGTGCTCAGAATGGATAAGTCATCTGGTCCTGAAGGCCCACATCGATGGGGTGGGGGATAGTACGGGATGCCAGTGGATTGAGGAGTCACATCCTTATTCAAGAAAACAGTAACTGGAAGTCATTCAGTTTAACATTAATGCCTGGATAATGTTTTAGAAGCAATAATGAGGGGCAAAAGAAAACAAGAACTTGGAGAGGTTTGAGGTAACTACCTGAATGGTGCCATCAATGGGAAATTTTAGTAACAATATTGGCTGAAGAATCTACTGTTGTTCTTCTTGAAGCAAAGGAAATTGAGGCATAGTTACAAAATAACAACCGATTTCGATAAGATAGACAAGGCGTTCCATTTTGGTAAAGAGATGTCAGGGAGAGGTGAGGAAGAACTTTTCGCTCAGTAAGTGGTAATGGCCTGGAACTCTCTGTTCACAAGTGTAATGACAGCAGAGATTTTTCAATGGCATTTTCTTTTTTAATAAAAAGGTGAACATCAGGAAAAAATAAACTTTCAGGGCTACTAGGAATGGGCCTCCCTTCCAACTCAATTTTGATTTAGCCTCCTCCGCCTTTTCCCACCTCTCCCTCATCTTTGATGGTCAGCATTGTCCTTAATGGGCTCTGCACATAAATTAATCAATTGGAAAACATGGATGACTTAAAGGTGGTTAATAGAAAAATAAGTACCACAGATGATTTGGTAATTAATAAAAATGTTGTTCAGTTGTGTGTAAAAGCATTTGTGGATATAAAAAGAGGAAATATAAAAACAAGGATGGGCATGACTGGCTTGCTCTAAGCAGTGTTAGCATGGATTACACCGAGCTGAATGGTCTCTGTCTGGGTCATAAATAAGTGGCTATCACACACATCCTCCATGAAATGATATTAAATTATTACTTTAAGTTACCTCCTTAATACTTCCCTCGTAGACCTCATCAGTACTAACATGAATGAACTTCTCAACATTAGCCTGATAAGCAGCTTTCACTAGGACTTCTGTACCATAGATATTCACATTTGTGAATTCTAAAGAACACCAAAATTACTTTCTGAAAAACAAATATTAAAATTTAACTTTGTCTAGCAGCATGGAATTGAGATTCATGCAACAAGTTTAAAACAATGCTAGGATTTAAAGAAAAACCAAATAATCACAAAGGTGACTGATGAGGTCTTAGCACCAAAAATAAAATGCCAGCCAGACATTTTAAAATAATGTTATCCAAAACATGAGAGTACAAATCAAAGGAAGTTGTTCTCAATCTTTACAGCACTCTGCTCAGACCAAACTCAAATCCTGCATCTGGTTCTGGTTCTGATTGTCAAGCAAGAGACTGAAGCTCTGGGAGGAACTCATAAGATGTGGTATGAAACCGAACTCTAGTCTTGCACGTTCAAATTATGAGGAAAGACTTTTTAAAATGGCAGTTCAGTAATTCCTCCCTGTCAATTTTCATCTACCCATCACCATCTCCAGCTTCAATATTTGCAGAAGCCCCACCCTCATTTTCAACAGATTCCATTTTTGCTGGCAGGGGAAAGGTAGTGGGGAGTGAATCACACGTGGGAAACCTGAACTCAGTAGCACTGTTTGAACTCAGTGTTGCTGTGCAGTGTTTAGCTGTTGCAAGAACCTTTACCTGCAGTGTGGGAGTTACAATTTATAAAGGTAAATACTGATGAAGGTTGAATAAAGATTGTCATGGTGTGAACTTATTTAAATTTTAAAAACAATTTTAATAGCTTTCTTTAAATGTCAGCAGTTGTTTGCTGATAATTCATTTATGACGAATGCTTGGCTAATTTCCCAAAGCCTAAGATTATCTCAGCAGAAAGAGACCAAGGTCACAGTTTGGTTGACAGTTTAAACAGAACCAGATATCTTTGATTATTTGGTGCAAGACATGAATAAAAGTTTGTTTCTAAGAACAGATGAACCACTAAAGACTTGAAGAAAAGGTTTGAATAAGATTTCAATAATGGGAAAAAAATTGAAAGAACTACAGATGCTGGAAATCTGAAACAAACACAGAAATTACTGGAAAATTTCAACAAGTTTAGCAGCATCTGTGGAGAGAAACCAGAGTTAACGTTTCGGGTCAAGTGACCCTTCTTCAGAACTGCTGGTAGCTAGGAAAAGGATAGTTTTTGTAAAGAAGATGGGGTGGGGGCAGTGGATTAAACGACAGAGTGGGGAAAGATGCTCAAGCCCTAAAACTATTGAACTCAATACATCCAGAAAGCTGCAGGGTTCCCAAGCAGAAAATGAGGTGCTGTTCTTCCAGCTTTTGCTGAGCTTTGCTGGAGCACTGCAGCAAGCCTGCAATAGAAATGTTGGCCAGACAACATGCTGGTGTGTTGAAGTAGCAGGTAACTGGAAGCTCAGGGTCTTTTTTGTAGTTTTCTCCACACTGGGGATACAAAGTGCAGACTAGGTGACCACATTTGGGGAACACCTACATGTTCAAAAATTGCAGACTTAATATCGAGTTCAACAATTTGGGGCTCGAGTACATTTCCCAATGCTTTCTCCCACCCCCACACACCAGGTCTCGTCATCACACGGACTGCTACCACACACTTCCCATCGTCAGACACCAATAGCCCCCATTAGCAGCTATTCATTCTCCCAGACTGACTTTTAACCACTCCTTTGTCTGTCTGACTGTTTTCTTCTCTCTTTGGACTCTATCTCTACATTATCGTTTACTCTCCGCCCTTCATCATTTGTATAAAAACCATTCTTTACCTAGCTACCACCATTCTGAAGGAGGGTCACTGGACCCAAAACATTAACTCTGATTTCTCTCCACAGATGCTGCCAGAGCTGCTGAAATTTTTCAGCAATTTCCATTTTTGTTTCAAGAATGGGAGGTTTTTTAAAAAATAGTCAAGTTGTCAAATAGTTTTTGAACTTATTTGATTTCATTTCAGCACAATTCCTGACAACTGTTCAAGGAGGAGTTGGCATCGCTAAGCAGAATGTGCTAGGGAAGTGGAAAGGTCTGCAGGTGCATAAATCACTCAGAACAGATGCATTACACCTCAGAGTTCTGAAGGAGGTAGCTGAGGAGATTGTAAAGACATTGGTGGTGATCTTTCAGAAATCACTAGAGTCGGTGGGAGGGGAGGGGGGGGAGTGTGTGTGTGTGTATCCCAGACGACTCGAAAATGACTAGTGTAACACCCCATTTGACAAGGGAGGGAGGCATCAGATGGTAAATTATAGGCTGCTTTGCCTGACCTTAGTCGTTAGTAAGATTTTAAAGATCATTATTAACAATGAGAGTGTGGCATTCTTGGAAGTACATGGTAAAACAGGGCTGAGCAAGCACAGCTTCATCAAGGGGAGGTCATGCTTGCTAAATCTGTTAGAACTCTTTGAGGAGGTAATCAGCTAGTTACACAAAGGAGAGCCAGTGGACCTGATCTATTTGAATTTCCAGAAGCCCTTTAATAAGGTGCTGCATAGGAGCTGATAAATAACAGCCCATGGTGTTAGGTGCAAGCATAGATAGAGGATTGGCTGATGGCTGACAGGCAGACAGTGAGAATTAAGGTGCCTTTTTAAGGATGGCAGCTAGTGACTGGTGCTGTTCCACAGGGGTCAGTGTTGGCACACAGCTATTCATGTCATACATTAACGATCTGGAAGAAGGAGATAAGGTCATTTTCCTAAGTTTACAGTTGACACAAAGATAGGTGGAGGGATTAGTAACTGTTGAGGAGGCAAGGAGGCTGCAGAAGGACTTGGATAGGCTAGAAAAGTAGGCAAAAGAAGTGGCACATGGAATACAAAGTGTGAAGTTAAGCACTTTGATAGGAAGAATAAAGGCACTGGCAATTTTCAAATTGGGAAAAGGTTTTGGAAATCTGTAGCACAAAGGGACTTAGGAGTCCTGGTTCAGGATTCTCTTAAGGTTAACATGGAGTTTCAGTTGTCAGTTAGGAAGGCAAATGCAATGTTAGTATTCATTTTGAGAAGGCTGGAATACAAGAGCAGGCATACCTGTTGAGGCTGTATAATGCTCTGGTCAGACTTCTTGGAAGGGCTCCAGAGTGGTTACAAGAATGATGTTGGGGTGAAGAGTTTGACATATGAGCAGCAATTGAGGACTCTGGGTCTGCACTGAGTGAGTTGCCTCGCTATATGAGCCATCCAAGGTTTCTTCCCGCAGTCTGATATCTCCTTAACAAATAGGGCAACTCCCCCACCCCTTTCATATCCCCCTCTATCCTGCCTGAAACATCTGTATCCTGGAATGTTAATCTGCCAATCCTGTCGCTCCCTTAACCAAGTCTCTGTAATAGCAACAACATCATAGTTCCAAGTACTAATCCAAGCTCTAAATTCATCTGCCTTACCTGTTGCACTTCTCACATTGAAAGAGATGCACTTCAGTCCACCAGATTCTCTTTGATCAGAAACCATACCGTCTGCTCTTTCTGAGTCTTATGGGCCCTATTCTTTAGTTCCCTTTCAGTCCATTCACCTTTGCATTGGTTCCTACCTCCCTGCCAAGCTAGTTTAAATCCTCCCAAGTGACACCAGCAAACGTCCAAGTCAGGATATTTGTGCCCCTCCAGTTTAAATGCAATCCGTCCTTCTTGTACAAATCCCACCTGCCCTGGAAGAGATTTCAATGGCCCAGATATCTGAAACCCTCCCTCCTACACCATCTGTTTAGCCACATGTTGAGCTTTGGTTAGAGGAGGAGGCAGGGAGGGAAACACTGAGAAGTGTCACTTGACAACAGCCCCTCCGCAAGTCACCTTCTGGAAGCAGTGACTTCATTGATGCAGATCTTCCCCATGTCAGCCAATCAGCGTCACCACTCTGCTGCCCTCTTCAAGGTCTTTGAGTGTTGCTGAACAAAGAGACCTTGCGGTGCAGGTTCATAGTTCCTTGAAGATCGAATCATAGATAGACAGGGTAGTGAAGAAGGCATTTAGTATACTTGCTTTTATTGGTCAGTGCATTGAATAAAGGAGTTGGGATGTCATGTTGTGGCTGTACAGGACATTGGTTAGGCCATTTTTTGGAATACTGAGTCCACTTTAGGTCTCCCTGCTATAGGAAAGATGTTGCTAAACTTGAAAGGGTGCAGAAAAAGTTTACAAGGACGTTGCTGGGGTTGGAGGGTTTGAGCTATAGGGAGAGGCCAAATTAGCTGGGGTTATTTTCACTGGAGAGTTGGAGTTTGAGGGGTGACCTTACAGAGGTTTATAAAATCATGAGGTGCATGGATTGGGTGAACAGCCAAGATCTTTTTTCCAGAGTAAGGGAACCCAAAACTAGAAGGCATAGGTTTGAGGTGAGAGGTGAAAGATATAAAAGGGGCCTAAGGGACAACATTTTCACGCAGAGGATGATGCGTGTAAAGAATGAGCTGCCAGAGGAAGTGGTGGGGACTAGTACAATTACAACAATTAAAAGACATCTGGATTGGTCCATAAATAGGAAGGATTTAGAGGGATATGGTCAAATGCCGGCAAACGGGATTAGATTAATTTAAGATATCTGGTCTGCGTGGACGGGTTGGACCAAAGTGTCTGTTTCCATGCTGTACAACTCTACGACTCTATAACTTGGATGTGAAAGTAGAAGGTATAATTAATAAGCTTGCAGATGACACAAAAATTGTGAATGTTGTTGATAGTGAGGAGGATGGTCTCAGACTACAGTCTGATATTGTTAAGTGTGAGCTCGAATAAAGAAAGGATTTACATAAAGGATGGTAAATCCCAAGGGAGTGCTGAGGAACAAAGAGACCTTGGTCCTACACCCCTGAAGATGTCAACACAGGTAGACAGGATGCTTGCCTTCATTAGCTAGGGCGTAGAATATGGGAGCAAAGAATCACAGAATCCCTTGTGTGGAAACAGGACCTTTGGCCCAACGAATTCACACCAAACCTCAGAGCATCCCATCCAGATCCATCCCCCTACCTTTTCCCTGTAACCCACCTAATCTACACATCCCTGAACACTATGGGCAATTTAACGTAGCCAATCCACCTACCCTGCACATCTTTGGACTGTGGGAGGAAACCCACACAGACACGGGGAGAACGTGCAAACTCCACACAGGCAGTCATCCGAAGGTGGAATCAAACCCGGGTCCCTGGTGTTGTGAGGCAGCAGTACTAACAACTGAGCCACCATTTCACCCAAGGGGGTCTTTGTCAAATGCTTTAGTTAAGCCCATGTAGACAATATCCACTGCTTTACCCTCAATCATCTTTGCCACTTTCTCAAAAATCTTAATTTTGTGAGGACAAGAGATTATACAAATAGGCTGGTTTTCTCTAGAATTTAGAAGCTTAGGGGTAATCCAATCTTTACAATATTTACAGGAATAAAACAGGGTAGATAAAGATAAACAATCTCCATTGGTTGGAGATTCTAGATCCGGGGGAGCAGTCTAAAAATTAAACCATTCAGGAGAGATGCTAGAATGAATTTCTACACACAAAGGGAGGTACAGATTTGGAACTCTCTTCCACAAACAACAGTTAATGCTAAGTCAGTTGTTAGTTTTAAAATCTGAAATAGATAATTTTTTGATAAACAAAGTATTAAGGGATATGGGCCAAAGGCAGGGATGTTGAGTTAGGCCACATACCTGCCATGATCTCACTGAACGGCAGAAAAGGCTCAAGCGGGTTGAACGGAATACTCCTGTTCCTATGTTCCTAATGCTAATGCCATTAAATGCCAATAACATTGATGCTGAATAATTGCACACGCGTGGATTTCAGAAGATTTTGATTTTGAATGCTGTTGACCTGGGTGATTGGATTTATCTTCAAGTGTAGTGAAACTTTATCTGATAAATGAAAGACTGACACTAAATTAGCTTCAGAATGCCTGAAGAGAAAGGATTCATAGGAAGGTAATGTGCATATTTGCAGATTTAACTTGCCTATATCATGGACGCACTGTAAGAGATTGTGCTGCAGAGCAATAAGAATGATTCTAGCTAGCTGGAGGCCATTTGAACACATTAACTTAATACGTTTACACTGAGAAAGGGTTTACAAGAGTCTGAGAAAACAAGTTCAATGTGGCCCCCGTTTTTCAGAGCTTATAATGACAAGAAACATCATTATTGTAAAGATAGGTAGAGGTTAGAGTGGAAAGGGACACATCTTCCATGCATCAGTTTCATTTTGCTTGCTGCTTCCTGATGAGTCAAGCTTCTTCTTGAAACCTGCTGCCAGTCACAAATGTCAAAACTAAATGAAAGCCATGCAATCTTCCAATGCTACCCATCAAAATCATGAGATCATCCCTGAACACAGTGGGCAGTTTAGCATGACCAATCCACTTAAGCAGCACATCTTTGGACTGTAGGAGGAAACCAGAGCACCCAAAGGAAATCCATGCAGACACAGGGAGAACTTGCAAACTCCACACTGACATTTGCCCAAGGGTGGAATCGAACTGGATCCCAGGCACTGTGAGGCAGCAGTGCTAACAACTGAACTGCTGTGCCACCCACTCACTAAGCCACTATACCACCCACTGATAATGATAGCGGATTCTTTTATAAAGGGATCAGATAGACATTTCTTCTAACTCAAACATAACTTCAGGATGGCATATTCTCCTGGGCGCCAGGGCATTCTGAAGTGGGAGGGAGAACAACTGGAGGTCATGGGCCACTTCAAATGTTTCTAAATTAAATCATGATAACTTCCAGTCTATCAAATTTATTTAATAGAATTTCAGTATTTTAGCTGACTACCTTGCCCAAGTTTACAATCAAACAATCTGGATATCTCTCCTGAAGACAAATAATCACCTGAGGCACTCCAAAGAAAAAAGCACATTCAATTACTTATTTAGTAAGAGCTAAATAACTTTTGCGAAAAGTTCTATAAAATACAAATTAAGTAGGGCCTCTACACAAGACAATGTAATCCCTATGATACAATTTGTTGGAAAACTATCCACATCCACCACATGGATTTTTTTAAAAAATTTACTCACATGAGTGCTGCCCTTGTCCTTCGGGATGGAAGTTGTTATGGGGCTGAAATAACTCCACAAAGGCCGGCATCCTGTCACCAAGTCACTCTTTATTTACACGTATATTGTATGTGACACCAACACTTGCTAGCTCGGAGTCTGTAGGTGTGAGGCTGGAAGAGCACAGCAGTCAGACAGCAGAGGAGCAGGGAAGTCAATGTTTCAGGCCGAAACCCTTCATCACGACTGGGGAGGGGAAGGGAAGCCCAGAAATAGAGGGATGGGGGTAGGGTTGGGGAAAGGGTAGGAGAGATGGTGATAGGTGGATACAGATAAGGAGTTATTGTGATTGGTCCATGGGAAGGGTGGAGCAGAGAGGTGAGTAGGAAGATAGACAGGTTAGTTCAGATCAGGAGAGGGAGGGCTGGACAAGGGTTAGGGTAGGGGTGGAGGGATTTTGAAGCTTGTGAGGTCAATGTTAAGGCCATTGGACTGTAAACTTCCAAGGCCAAAAAAAAATCAGCTGGTGTTCCTCTAGTTTGCATTTGGCTTCACTCTGACAGTGGAGGCGGCCAAGGATGGACATGTTGTCGGGGAGTGGGAGGGGGAAATTAAAACGGATGGCAATTGGAAGGTTTGGGTTGGTTGATGCATGCAGAATCAGAATGCAGATGTTCCACGAATCCGAGTCTGCGTTTGGTCTTCTCAATACAGAGGGGACCACAGCGGGAGCAACGGATGCAACAGACAAGGTTGGATGAAGTGCAGGTGAATCTCTGCTGGATCTGGAAGGATTGTTTGAGGCCTTGGATGGAGGTGAAAGGGGAGGTGCAGGGGCACGTGTTGCACCTCTTGCAGTTGTAGGGAAAGGTACCAGGCATGGTGGAGAAATTTGTGGGGAATGTAGAGCTGATGAGGGAGCACGGAATGAACGTTCCCTGTGGAGAGCAGACAGGGGTGAGGAGGGAAATGTCTTTCTGATCTGATTGTAGGTGGTGGAAATGTCGGCAGATGATGCTTTGGATCCGGAGGTTGATGGGGCGGTACATGAGGACTAAGGGGACTCTATCCTTATTGCTGTTGAGGGGAGGGACATCATTTATATATATTACAAGCAACGGAGATCCCAGCACTGATTCTTGCGGAACATCACCAGCCACAGACTACTGGTCAGAAAGATGCCCCTTCACAACTACCCTCCATCTTCTAAAACCAAGCCAATTTTGTATCCAATTTACAAATGCACCATGGATCCCATGTAACTTAATCTTCTAGACCTGCCTATCTTGAAAGACCTTGTCAAATACTTGAGTAAAATCCACGTAGGCAGAATCCACTTCCCTACCCTCAATCATCTTCGTCACTTCCTTAAAAACTCAATCAAATTTGTAAGACAAGAGCTCCCCTTCACAAAGTCATGCCGACTATCCCTAATAAGTACATTCTTCTCCAGATGTGAGTAAATCCTGTCCCTAAGAATCTTCTCCAATAATTTCCCTATCACTGATGTAAGGCACGTTAGGCCAATAGTTCCCTTGATTATCTCTGTTGCCCTTCTTAAACAAAGGAGCAGCATTAGCTATTCTCCAGTCTTCTGGGATCTCAATGTGGCTGAAGAGGGCATCTCTGTCGAAGCTCCAGCAACCTTCTTCCTTACCTCCCTCAGTATCCCACGAAAGATCCCATCAAGCTCTATGGACTTATCTACCACCCAAACCCGACCTCCTCTTGATTATCAAGATGCCCTAGAATATCAACATACACCTCTCTCATCTTACTCTCATCCATTTCCTTTTCCTTGGTGACTACCGATGTGAAGGAGTCATTAAGGACCTTATCCACTTTCTCTGGCTCCAAGCATAAATTCCTTCCTTAATCTTCAAGTAGACCTACCTTTTCCTCAGCTACCCTCTTGATCCTAATATACATATAAAATGCATTTGGATTCTCCTTAATCCTACATGCCAAAGACATTTTATGGTCTCTTTTAGTCCTCCTAATTCCTTGTTTAAGTTCTTTCCTGCTTCCTTTATATTCTCAAAGGCCTTGTCTGATTTCAGATTCCTAAATCTTACATATGCTTCCACTTTTTTTTTTAAACTAAACTTTCAATATCTCGTCATCCAGGGTTCCCAAATCTTGTCAACCTTAATAATCCAACAACATCACCATCCAGGGAAAAAAAAATCAGCCTGCTTGACTGGTACCACATGGACAAACGTCAACTCCCTCCACCACTGATGCTCAGTAGCACCATTGTGTACTATGTACAACACACACTACAGAAATTCACCAAAGATCCTGAGACAGCATCTTCCAGATCCACTTCTATCTAGAAGATCAAGGGCAGCAGATACATGGTATACCACCAAATGCAAGCTCTCCTCCAAGTCATTCACCACCCTGACTTGGAAAGATATCATTATTTCTTCATTGTCCTCCATAGGGACATTGTGGTTCAACCTAGCACATGTGGACTGCAGCAGTTCAAAAGGATAGTTCACCACCACTTTCTCCAGGGCAACTAAGGATAATTAATACTGGTCAGTCAGCCATGCCCACAAACCACCAGTTTGATAAAAAGACAATTCTGCAGATAATCTGCAGGGTTCTGTTACATCTGCAAATGGTGTAAAATCTGAACTTCAGTGTTGTTTCTGCAGAGGTTCAAAGGGGTCTGTGATATGGGTGTTTATATATCTGTTTATATAATCAGTACTGTAACTATTATCCACACACGGTGCCTGTGATCTGCAGGGTGTTAGATACTATCAATAAGCAACACTTCAATTTATATCTCTTCCCCGCCGCCCCATGTGATCGATGCATTGCCACAGTCGACCTGTTCCCGCTCTGTGCTGGTATCTTCGGAGTCCCTCCTCCAATACCTACATGAAGCCCGGTCATCAGAAGCCCCTTTCAAACGCTGTCAGGGCGTTTCTGCTCCAACCTCGCACATCCTCTCCGCTGCTTTACGGCTATTATAAACCGACCACATTAACCCAGGAGAACGTGCTCGCTTCCAGATCATTATGTACGTCTTTAGAGAAACCTCGCTCGTGACCAGGGACAGCTCTGCTTGTAGATAGACCATTACGCTCGCTAGCGCCCTCCTGGACAAGCCATCAGGGTGTGATGATGGAAGTATATGAGCCGTACCTGTTTGCCATTGGTTGGCTGCTGTTTGCACTCGGGTCGTGCTGGGGAGCGGGAAGTGGTTGTGTTGCGTATCAGAAAGCTGAACACACGCAGTGGGGGAGAGATTGTAGCTACCGTTGCGCCGGACTATGACCGTCACCGGGCTGTTGACCAACGAGGCGGCCCGACGCGACAAAACATCCAGTTCCAGCTGCGAGATTTGAGGAACAGTCACTGGACCCGAAACGTTATCTCTGATTTCACTCCACAGATGCTGCCAGACCTGCTGAGCTTTTCCAGTAATTTCTGTTTTTGTTTCTATGGGAACTGGCTCTGCTAAGTCCACACGCGCCTGAATAAGCAATGTGAAAGGGTCAGCAGTGAGCGGGTATATTTTAAAGCTGAGGTAGCCAGTTAACTGAATTATTCAATAGGTCTACTGAAAATGCAGTAATTTTATCGTGCATGGAAAAAGAAACAATTAAAAAAAACTTTTAGAATCGTAGAACAAAACACAGGATTATGGGACTTAAGAGCAAGGTATGTTTGAGCCTAAGATAGTGCGGAGCTGGAGGAACACAGCAGGCCAGGCAGCATCATAAGAGCCGAAAAGCTGACGTTTCGGGTCGGGACCCAAGTTCAGAAAACTTTTTTCTCCAGCTGCACACTGTGTTACTTCTGACTGCAGCATCGGCAGTTCTTGCTGTCTCTGAGTTTGTTTGAGCCTGCTCTGTTATTTAACAAGGTCGTACAACAGCAAAATATTGTTAATGCTAAAAACGTGACTCACGCAGTGAATGCTGGTGAAACTGAAAGCATTTGTGGAGAGAGATACAATTGATGTCCCAAGTCCATATGATTTGAAGAACTCACACAACTCCAAACGTTAACTGTTTCTCTCACCATAGATGTTGCCATTCTAAACTAATCCCATCTGCCTGCACATGATCTGTATCCCTGTATTCCCTGCCTGTTCATGCCTCATACATCATTATAGTATCTGCTTCTACCACCTCCCCATCAGCTGCTAACAAAATTTTATCCTTTTTTTCAAATAAGGAGATTGAAATTGTACACAGAGCTCCAAATGCAAACACACTAAGGCCCTGTATGATTTCTCTACTTTTATATTCCATTTCCAACGCAATCATAATACTCCCATTATTCATCTGTTATTTCATAAAATAACTGTCAACTTTATCAGATATTTTTTGCCTTTAGCAATTCAATCCTGAACTGAATTTATCAGTTCCTACTTTTCTGAATGTGAATTTTGTTTTTCCTACATTATTGCCTCTAACACTTTCTCTGACACTGATTGCCTGGTCTGTAGTTGCTCAGGTTCACCATTTTCCCTCTCTTAAACAGGCGTGTATAACATTGGCAATCCTTCAGTGCTCTTGCATCATCCCCCATGGCTTGGTAAATTTTGACTTGGTAAACTTTGGCTAAAATCTCTGCAATTTCCACGTTTCTGTTGAAATATTGGAGACTGTGAGTTTTCAACCTTGAGAACAGTAAACTGCATTTATCTATTTTTATTCTTTCCTGTAATTCTTCTGCCTTCTTTACTGGAGTCTTCATTAAGAAGATGCCAAATATCTCCTTTTCAGCCCTCATAAATAGCCTTACTGTTCCCTTGCCTATCTTTTTAAGATATGTATGTTTAGAAAGACTTCCATGTTCCCCTTATTTACTTCCATACTCTTTTCCCTTTTATATTTCCTCTGTACTTTCTACATTCAGCTTGTTTCACTATATTGGGAACCTGATGATTAACTTTTTTTTTTGTTCTACTTCATTTTAATTTTATATTTTTGTTATCAAGGAAGATCTAATTTTAGATGTCCTTCCTTTCCCCACTCATTCTAACGCATCAACTTTGTGTCATAGAGTCACACAGTGTGGAAACAGACCCTTTGATCCAACTAGTCCATGTCAACGATGTTCGCAAACTGAACTAATCCCACTTGCCTGTGTTTGATCCATATCCCACCAAACTTTCCTATTTATGTACTTATCCAAATGTCTTTTAATTATTGTAACTGTACCTGCTTCTGCCACTTCCTCTGGCAGTTGATTCCACACATGAACCACACTCTGTAAACAAAAAAGTTGCCCCTCCTTTTTAAAACTTTCTCCCATGACCTTAATATGCCCCTAGTTTTGAACACCCCCACCCTAGAGAAAAGATCCTTACTGTTGCCCCTAATGATTTTATAAACCTCTATTAAGTCACCCTCAACTCCTGTGCTCCAGTGAAAGAAGTCCTAGCCTATTCAGCCTATTTTTATCACTCTCACCCTCCACTCCGGCAACATCCTGGTACATCTCTTCTGAACCTTCGCCAATTTAATTATATGCTTCCTAAAGCAGGATGACCAGAACTGCACATAGTACTCCAGAAGAGACGTCACCAATGTACTGTACAACCTCAACATCACTCCTGTATTCAAAGGTCTGGGCAATGAAGGCAAACATTCTAAGTGGCTTCTTAACTCCCACCCCCACCTCCTACCTACCTGTCTCATCCCTGCCTCCTTGATCACCCCCACCCTCCTACCTACCAGTCTCATCCCCGCCTCCTTTACCTGTCCGTCTTCCCTTGACTGACCACTCCCCACTTACACTCACCTTTACTGGCTCCAACCCCGCCTCCTTGGCCTGTCCGTCTCCTCTCCACCTATCTGCTCCTTTATCCATCTTCCATCCGCCTCCCCTCTCTCTCTATTTCAGAATCCCCTTCTCCTCCCCCATTTCTGAAGAAGGGTCCAGACCCGAAACATCAGCTTTCCTGCTCCTCTGATGCTGCTTGGACTGCTGTGTTCATCCAGCTCTACACCTTGTTATCTCTTTTCTTAACCACCTTGTCCACTTGTGATGCAAGTTTCAAAGAATTATGTACCTGAACCCTTAGGTCTCTCTGTTCTACAACATTACCCAGGGCTCTATCATGAATAGTATAAGTCCTGCCCTTAATAAAAACTGAAAGAACTGCGGATGCTGTAAATCAAGAACAAAAACAAAGTTGCTGGAAAAGCTCAGC